GACAATGGTGTTGCTGGGCCGCACTAGCAGGGAAAAGAGGAGGCACAATGTGGTGAGAGTGTCTCGGGCCTGCCAGTGATGTGAGCTGATGGACTAGACTGCACAGCAAGAGCAATCAGGGGCACAGCTTGTGCAGTCAGATGTGACCTGGGTTCAAACCTCAGATCTGCCTCCTACTACCTGTGCTGCCTAGGGTGAGTTCCCTGACCTCTCTGAGCCTCAGTGTCCTCCTCTGCAGGATGGTGTTCTACAATATTGCTGCGAGGATTCTGTGGGATAATGCAGACAGTGCTGGGTGCATAAGAAGCATTCAGTGCATGGTGGTTATGCTTATTCTCAGTCCTGAGGTCCATGTCCTCGGGCTCTTGGAGGGGGTGGGGGGTGAGATTGGGTGCCAAACAGCTGTATGGACACTCTCTCCAGGTTCTCTTGGCCCCATCTGTTTGCTTAGGGCTGACAGCGAGATAAGGGAGGGTGATGACTTTCCCCTGCTAAGCCCCAGTTTGTGAAGTTGCAGAGATAATGCTGCTCTCAGTTGTGATGGGGGGTTGCTAGGGAGCAAGTGCAAAGAGTCTTGTTCCCTTGCAGCCTTTGGGCATTGCCAACTCAGGGTTTTGTAACAAGCTGCTCCTCCTCACCTCACCGAAGGCCTCACACAAACCCCCTCGCCCTCTGCATCCTACTCACCTTTCAAGTCCTGGCTCTAATCCTAACTCCTCTGGGAAGATGTCCTGACCAGCCCAGCCCACCAGGACTGCGCCTTCCTTCAACCTCAGCAACCTCAACTCTACACCAGGCAATACCGTTCGTTCGTTGAGAAATCTGTGGAAGAGTTGTGATTAGGGCTGAGTGAGAGAACAGGCAGAGCATGCCAGGTGCAGGGTCTGGTAGAGGCCTATGATGAGCCCCCTGCCTCTTCTCTCCCTACTCTTTGAACCCCAAGATACAGCAGACATGTGACTTTGACCAGCTGCTGCCTTCTAGCGACAGTCATCGGGAGTATGCCTTTGCTGTCTCTCCAATTCAGTCATCAAGTCACAGAGGGCCAGGGCCTCGTCTTGTCCTTCTTCATCCTCCAGGACCTAGGCACCATAAAAATCTCCAGGAACCAGACACCGTGGAGCTGCTCCTGACCCGCGGCAACCTCAACCTGTGCCAGAGTGGAAATGCGCTCCAGAGGGTTTTCAATGGCTGGGACTCTTCAGAAGTAGATTAAGAGATCTTTCTTTCTCCCAGGCCTCTCTGGGTGGACTGGAACTTCCAACCTTTCAGGTAGCAGCTTAGTAGCATAACTATCATTTAGCGAGCACTTGATGGTACTGGTGGCGTAATGCCTAAGGCATTTTGACTGCTAACCAGAAAGCTCGTGGTTCAAACCCAGCAGCCACTCCTCGGAAGGAAGACTGGGCAGTCTACTTCCATAGAGATACCGCCTCGAAAACCCAAGGAGGGGTTGCTACGAGTCGCAGTCAACTCGACGGCTGTGAGCTTGGTTTTCGTTTTGATGTCCTGAGGAACCCTAGGCAGCACAGGTAGTAGGAGGCAGATCTGAGGTTTGAACCCAGGTCACATAGCGACCCCCAGTGGCCTTCCAAGGCTTCCAAGTAGACAAATGCCTGGTGGTGCAGTGGTTAAAGTGCTCAGCTGCTACCTGAAAGATCAGTGGTTGGAACCCACCAGCCGTTCCACAGGGGGGGAAGACATGGCAGTCTGCTTCTGTTGAGATTACAGCCTTGTATACGCTATGGGACAGTTCTGCTCTGTTCTACAGAGCATTATGAGTCGGCGTCTGCTCACACCTGTGAGGTTTTTGCTTGGTTTGATAGTGCTATGTGACAGGCACTCTGTTGTGTATGTTTGTCACACATGTTGCATCTTCATCCTTGTTCCCTACATTCTCCATCCAGGACAGGTAGGCATAGCCCTCCTTTTCAGCCAAAGAAGCTGGGCCAACTACTCAAGGTCCCATAACAAGTAGGTGGCCTAGCCA